ATATTAGCACTTAAAAACCTTGCTGGTCATATCAAACTTTTTAACTGGATACAGCTCCACTCTTGAGTTATTCAAGCCTTGTCAGTATTTTGCTGTTCCCAACCTCGTTCGGCTGAGATGGACCTCCTGGATGTCTTCCCCTTTCCAACATATGTATGCTAACGCTACATGTGAGTTCACAATGAAAACTGACCAAGTTTCATTCTATATGTATTCTATATAGATATCTCCTCCTTAATAAGTAAGAGCATTTTAATGTATTTTTCATTTTTTAATTTCTACACCTTAGCCCAACAGATGGTGGCAGCTATTGATTTCTGTGGATCACGGGGTGAATTTAACCTAAGTCATAACCTTAGAGTAACTAGACTTTCATCCAATCATTCATAGTACATGAACCCCTGGGATGCCAGGATAGTGGTGACTTTGTAATCAGCTGATCCAAAATTTCCAGAACTTCATCTGATCCAAAACAGGGCAGAAAGATTCTGAACAAGGACTGGCTCATGAGAACATATTATGCAAGCCCCCTTCCAGCTGCACTGGCTGCCAGTTGAAGTCTGGGCCTGATTCAGATGGCTAGTACTAACATTCAAAGCCCTAAATGGCTTGGGGCCAAGTAATCTGAAAGAACAGCTCATCACAGGTGTTCCTACGCAGACACTGGAGTCATCTTTGGGATCTTTCTCTGAGAGCCCCTTCCAAAGGAAGTGAGGCAGGTAGCTGCCGGGAAGGGTCTTTTCAGCTGTGGAATGAGACCCGCAAGCATTTGTGTTCACACTTTGTATTATTTTCAGCACCAGTTGAAAATCTATTCATTCTCCTAGCATCTAAAGTTTTACTTTTTTAACTTCATCTTTTAAATATTGAATTTTATTCTGTACTGCTACTATGCTTCTGTGATGATTCAATTACACAACTGCTCTTGTGGTTTTGCTGTTCTAAGTTAATTTTATCTTGTATGCGTTTGTGTTTTAATTTTTTTAAAAAAACAGTCTTTTGTTAACTGCCCAGACAGCCTCAGCTATTGGGTGGCATAAAAATGAAATAAATAAATAAATGTAAGTAAAATAACTTGAGATGCAAAAACAGGTTGAATCTAGTCAAGCTTCAATGAATGAAAGCTTCTTCCAAGCAAGAATGGCTGGTGGGGTGGAAAAATCCCGTAATTTCTGCTGAGTCAAGAGTTTACTCTTCACAGCCAGCCCTAGAAATTAGAAAACAGATTGCTTGGACTCAGTACTTGAACTTACTTCTACGGTTTCCTGCAGGTGTCAACAAATATTTTGCATCTGCCTTTTCTTTTGGCTAAAACTTCTCAGTCCATTCTTTCATGACATCAAACACTGTTCAGGGCCCATTGACTAGCCTTGGATTTGCTCCATGACCTTTACCAGCAATGTTAATCATACTGACATTCAGACTCAATTCATCGTAGTGTATTTCTAGAACTATTCATTTAGTTGACAAAACATGTGATAACAAGTTCCATTATTAATAGACTTCCTGGGTTTTTGAGGGGTTTTTTTGGCAATTATGTCTAGTCTCACTGACCTACTTCTATATGAGTTGGTGACCTAGTTAATATAGTTGTTCAAGATTGCATTTCTATTACCACATAGCCATTGTGATATTTTTGAAATGTGTGAATAAGTGTATGTGAATAAATTGATATCTTCTTGGTCATAGCTATTGCCATGTATTTGTAAAAGCAGAGCCTTCATTCTAACTCACAACAATATGAAGTTGTGCTGGAGAAGCCGTTTATACGTTCCACCCATACACACACACACACACATATCACACAACGTATCAGGTCACTGCAAACATCCTTCTTAAATTAAAGTTGACATCCCATAAATGGAAAGGGGTTATAATAATTACAAAGACACATGTCTGCTGCAATCCCATGTTGCTGACCCAGCTTTATACATAGAAACAAGGAGAGTCAGACGGGGTCTGAGCCCCGGCTCCAGCCAGCTCCACTCATGACATTCCTACCATGTGCATGTCCAGCCTATCCTTAAACACCCTCACTGATGGGGCCTCAGCCACCTCCCATGGAAGCCCATTCCATACCCTCGGGGTCCTAACTGTCAGGAAGTATTTCCTGGCATCCACGCTAATCTTGGTTCCCTGATGTTGACTCACGACTTCAATGCCATTAAATTCAGTGAGTCTTACTAATGAGTAAGAGTGCAGAGAATTAATGATTTGTTACTTGATAATCATATGACTAAGCCTTTAGTCTTCAGGGGTTTGTTTAAAGAGCACACACACACACACCACACACACGCTTTAAAAATTTATTTACTAAGACAGTAGACATAGAGTTAATAATAGTCTGTATCTACTTTAGTAATAAGATTTTATTCCACATATAACAAATGTAGCTTGCCCCATTGTTTTTACAACTGTTTTCTTCTAAGAGCCCCTTAAAACAGAACTATGTAATGTAGCTTTAAGTTTTACGGCTCCTACACAGAATCCTACTATAGGAAAGGGGTTTGCAGCAGCTTCCATGCGGAGAGGTGGAACTTTGAAATGGCTTTCAATCCAGCTACCTTTGAAAGAGCAATTAAATTGCTTAATATTATTACAGTAAAGAAACTACAATCTATAAAAATAGTTCCTCTTTTCCAGTGTGTACACAAGGCAATTAAATTGTGTTTAGAATTAAAATGTATAATAAATGTACCAAAAAATATAGCAGCTCCTAAAATAAAACAACAGAGGTTCAACATCTCTTTTCACCCTTAAGCTGTGCCAAAATCATACTATTTTCATATTTTATTTTTGTTAATTTTATCATAGCATTGTCTTACGTTAAGACTAACTAGCTTTTTCAAAGTAAAATAAGAATTTGAAGGAGCATGTGCCATTGCTTTTGCAAATATTTAGGAGATTTCTGCAGCTGGGGGAACATCAAAATAATGGAAGTTCAATCTAAATATTATAATATTTTACATGCTTATGGGCCTATGCTAAGGTTGTGGATTTTCCTTTCCTTTCAGGGCTCTTGTACTTGCAACATCCATGATGGGGTGGGGAATTCTGTCCCTTCAGAAATTACTGAACTACCAGTCCCTTTACTCCTAAGCTAATAATGAGGAATGATGGGAATTGCGGTTCACAACATCTGGAGTGTTACATGTTGCCCACCCTGATTTGTGTAATAAGGAAAAATTGAGCCAGTACAGCTTCTGCCCATCCCCAATCAGATGTTTGACATCTGGAGTTCTACTTGGCATGAGGCTGTTGTAGACAATGCAGATCATCAGGGAAAATATTAACAAGCATAACCCATGCATTGCATACAATAGACTGGGGACAGCCAGGAATTTTGAATAATTGAAAACTATTGCCATTGGAGCAAATGAGAAACAGAGACACACACAATGTACCAGTCAAAACATGATTATTAGAATAATAATCTATTGGAATAGGCAAGCTATCATTCTTCAGTTATTCTGGGTGTAGTGACAAGATAAAGCACAGTTTGCTGTATGGTGTGTCGTTTGGTGCTGGTAATAAAGGATGTGATGTGCCAACATGTTGTCTTTTTCCTCTACTGCCAGTAACACTAATGCTGTGTGCCATGAGCCATTGCTAACAGACTGGAGTTTAAGCAAGTTTATGGAAGTGTTAGCTTTGGGATTAGAATGCTTTACACCAAGGGATTGTTGGTCTGCAAAACATACAATATTGGGAATGTGCTTAAGGGAGTGTTCTCAACTTTTATCTCAGAAAAATAGTAGAACGTACTATTGCTAGACCAACTGTAGAAATAGTTCCCTCTCTTTCCTTCTTTTAGTGTTAAAAAAAGCTGGAAATGCATGACATCAGTTTTAAATAACAGCTTCCAAAATCTTTTCTGGGCAGTAATCTAACTTCTTAATGCATCCTTCAGATTTGCTCTCTGAAGACCAGGGCTTTGCATTAGGGTGGCAATGCTACATTTTAAAATACATGTTTGGATTGAGTGGTCCTGTAGGAATAATCTTGTACCTGTAAAAATTATTCCTTGCAATGGTGAAAGTGCATACCTTTTGAGAGCAAGTAGTACTGTGATGGTGGAGGAAACAGCATAAACCCAATTCTAAAATTATTTAGTGATTTTTCCCCTACTGAAAGGATGCAAGAACCATATAGTGCTTTCAAATAGCAACTGAATCAAATAAGAGATTCTTAGAGGAGTGATGAACTTGTGGTTGAGTTTGTTTGAGTGTGTCATGTCCAACAACATATGGAATAATATTATATTCATAAGATGTTTCCAACCAAGAAAAATAATGGCATGTGGTTAGTGACATAGCACTGCCTGTCTTCCTGTTGCATTTCCATCCCACTCTTCCTCCAAGGAGCTTAGGATATCATCACGGGGCTCATCTCCATGTTCTCTTCACAAGATTAAGCCAAGAAAGTAGCCCTGTGAAGATGTTACTCACCAGAACAGGCAAATGGGGCACACATTTAGCTCACCCCCAAGGCCATGTGGCTCATCTTAGCCCTTCTCATGTTGAGGGCAAACTGATTTGAGAGTTTAATGTGTAGGAGCCTCCACAGACATAAAGGGGTCCTTGCTGCAGAAGTTCACCATAATCAATGAGGAGTCAGGAAAAGCCACATAGCTTGGATACAGGGCTAAACCTGTATGGTATCTGTGTTGATCATTCCACTGAGTAATGCCTGAACTGACCTGGATTGATGTGCACAAGGCCATCCAAATAGCATCTGACCAATCTCCCCACTATGCATCTAATATCCACTGTTCTGCACTGGCTCTCTATAGACATTGGACCTATAAAGGGACAAAGGAGAACGTTGTTCTTCCATGTAGATAAATAGTAGGAAGAAGTAACAAATCCATCATTCCCTCCTAGTTTGTATCTTTCTGTTTACACATTTCTGAAGGTTCACTTGAAAGGGTTTCACAGGGACCACAGAAGCCGGCCCTTGGAACAATAGTTCAGTGAACTTACACGCGGTAAAACATTCAGTCATAAAAACAGTTGGTAGTTAAAATTGTCAGATTTGATTTTGAAGTTGTATGACCTAGACTTGCGTCGGCGTCGGCAAACCAAAAGACCTACTATTCCCAGGACAAAAACAAACACACCAATGACAATGAGGACTATATAACCTACTCCTAAGCCAGGCTTCTTCTCTTCCTTTACATCATCTGAAATAAAAGAAATGAAAAGGTGACACTGGAGACCCCATAAATTTTAAAGGCAGATTGTATCAAACTAGATCAGAAAGTGCAGTTTGACTTTGACAATGCAACCCTAATGTGTTTATCTGGGGAAGTCCAAGATCAATTTGACCAAGGCAAGTATACACAGGATTAATAATCTCATCTTCTCATAGTTAATGGATCTATATTTTCCAAGCAGTAGAAAAACAGAATAAGAGACATATGTGTAAGACTGGCAGAATGAGAAACAATTATTGGAGCTTGTTTTATCCAGTTCCCTAAATTAGCAGTCATGCAAGGTGTGGATGTTGGAAATTGTAGGCCCACATATCCAGAGAGTACTAGGTTGGAAGAAGCTGCTTTAAGTCATTCCTTATTAGACACCACAAGCTCCTCAAAGTGAAGGTCAGAGAACATGAACCTGAGAATTCTCAGGCCAATAAAGCAAATATCTGGACCAAAGAACACTCGGCCAGAAAGTCAAAGAGGTTGCCCAGATTTCACCAACACCTTCATCAGTACATCAATTTTTTGACTTAGACCTTTTTGATACCAAGAACACCGAGCCCCTCTGTATGATATTGACACTGTTTGCTCACTCGTGTACTACTAACAGTCCAGATGGTATTCCTTTAAATCTGGTTCAGGAAGACTTTTAATCCAGAAGGCTAAATTTGTTTTGGGCAAACGTATCAAGGGCAGTAGGCCAACAGTAGGCAGAGCCATCCAATTGCTGGTGTGTGGACCCACAACACACACATTAACTCACACACACATTGCCCACTGGTAGCAAGGGGCTTGTTCAAAGCCTGATTGCAATACAGGGAGGGGCAGTTTTTCAAAGGGGGTCATTGTCCAAAGAATTGCATCTTTCTAAATTAGATTTTGCAGTGCACTTTACATGGAGCTGTCCTTGAAGACCATTCAGAAGGTGCAGCTTATGCCAAATGTGGCAGCCAGAATGGACAAGATTATTAACAGGGACCAGAAATTCCAAGCATATAATACCAGTTCTGGCCACTTATGTTGGCTGCTTATGTTCCTGCACCTGATTCAAGGTGCTTCACAGGCTCAGGACCACAGTAGCTAGTGGAGCACTTCCTTCAACCTAAATCTCTCCAGACATTGCAATGCACATGAGAGGCCATCCTCCAAGTACTTCCTTCAGGGAGGATCAAAAGGTGACAAGAACTTAGAGGACCTCCTCAGTGGTGCCCTCCTCCACCTGGCAGCAATTCTGCCATCTTTTCAGCACGAGGTTAAAACCATTTAACCACATTGATGTATAGGATGGTGCATTCATTTATCCATTTAAAAATATTTATATCCTGTCCTATACATAAATTGTCCCAGGACAGCTTACAAAAACTATAACAATCGATAAACAAAGCAACAGATAAAAACAATAAGCAACAACATAATACCAACAAAAACAAAATCAAAATGCTAGTGTGAGTATTAAAACTAATTAAAAGTCCTAGTTCTGAAAATAGTGGGTAAATAAAAAGGTTTTTACCTGGCACCATATAAAGTCGGCGCCAGGCAAACTTCTCTGGGGAGCGCATTCTAGAGTCTGGGCGCCACCACAGAGAAGGCCCTCCTCCGGGTGGAGACCTTCTTTACCTCCTTCAGGGAGGACTCCCGGAGCAGAGTCTCTCCTGCAGATCTCAGTGGGTGCAAGGGCATATAGGGAAGGAGACATTCCTTCAGGTATCCTGGTCCCAAGCCGTTTACACTTTATAGGTTAATACCAGCACCTTAAATTGGGCCCGGACTTCAATCAGGAGCCAGTGAAGCTGATAGATAACTGGCGTTATATAAGAATTTAAACCAGTTGTTCCTAGTTTGTTGAGATGTGGGTTCCTATTGTAAACATTATAGCTATTTAAATTATTTTAACTTTTGTATCTTAAAATCGTTATATTACATTTTATTATCTTTATTATTATGTAGGTTGCTTGTTTCTTTGCTTGCTTGTGAATCTCCCAGAGAGCTTTGGCTATATTGGGTGGCATTGAAATGAAATAAACTAATAATGGTTGCAACTTCAAGGGAAGGCTGTAGCCTATACGGCTGTATGTCCATAGCTTCCTTGTTACTGGCCTGTCTTCTTTAGTATTCATTTATCAGAATTTTAAAACATTATATGGTGACTATAGTAAAAGGCTTCAGAGCCCTTTACCTTCCCTGCCTTCTCTACTTGCTGGCAAAACTATTGTGGTGGGTAGGAAGCCTTCTCATTTCCACTGCTGCCTTTTAACTTTTAAAAATTAAATTACTCTACATTCCCCTGCTGATGCAACCCCCACCCCAGCCTCAGAAACACAAGCCAGTTTGGTGATCCATCCTAAGTGGCCCTTACTCACCACTGGATTAAAGTGAGAAACGGGCCTATAAAATAAGTTTAATTATACTTCGGGGGTGTTTATTATGTTATTTTAAGGGGAAAGAATCTGAGTCCTTGAAGGAATCATTACAATTTTGGAAGGGGGGATGTCCTGAAATGTTTGAATGAGTTTTCTTTCCTTTTTTATTTGTAAAATGTATCATTGGTCCTCCTGGTTGGGAGCATTGTATTGTAAGAATTATTTTAATAGTATGTTTAACTTTATATGTTTCTATTTTAGATGTCAGTTTTTTGCTGTATTTTAGATTGAAAAAAATAATTTAAAAAAATTAAAAAGGATGACTTACCAACGAATCTGCGTAAAGGTCCCCAAGTTGTTCCAGGCGCTGAAATAATTTGCCCTGTCCTCTGCGAACGGTACCCATCGCAGTTCTGCAATAATTAAATGAAAAAAACAAAGAAACACGGTTTGCTTTATTTTACATTTACTTATTTGTATTTACTTATATTTTTCACCTTTGTCCTACAAGAAACCCATGACAGCTTACATAATGCCCCGCTCCCCTCCTTTTGAACCTCACAACAACCCTGTGAGGTGGGCTGGGCTGAGAGTCTGTGAGTGGCCTAAAGCCAACCTTTGTGGCTGAGTGGAGACTGGAACCCAGACCTCCTGGATCGACACTCATGAGCTGGGTTCCTCTTTTTTAAAGTTACTGCTTTAGAGCCAATGATGTGGGTCATGTAAACCCACCCTTTTAACTGGATTGTATGAACTGGACGGGATGCCAGGCTCTCACTGCTTGTTCAGGAGGACAGCCTCCATGAACTCGTGGCTGCAAGTCAGGCGGTGGATTAGGCCTGCCCATGCCAGGCCTGTATAGCTGAGGGGCACATATTTGGCCTAGAATTCCAGCTCAACCCCCTCGAACCCAGTGCTTCAGAGGAACCCTGGCAGGAAATCCACATGAATCAGAGCACAATCACAGGTGAGCTCAATGTCCAGAAATGGAGGTGATCCATTCACTGCAAGTCTAGCTGGACTTGTATGGATTAGATCCCCATGAGAATCAGAGTGCTTTACAGAGAAATAGAGACTGTTGCTTTAACTCCATGGATAACAGCTGGACTGTCCCTTTTACACATTGCTTGGTTTTCCTTTTTTTGCACTATTTTTTCTTTAGTCACGTGGGAATATACAGACATATATAATTCTTTTTGGTGATTTTTGCTGTATTTGTAAAAATAATGAAGGTTGGCAGAGGGATTCCTTACCTTCCTACAGATGGTCCCAGGATTTTGCATACAAACACGGATTTTGCAGTGCAAATAAGCCACTGAATTGTTGACAAAAGAGAAGATTTTCAGCTTAAATAAGACTTTATTGGACAACCCATTTGCAATCATGGTGGTATATGTGTTTGGAACTGGACAGCTGAAAAGAGATGGATCAGTAAAAAAGCTGGACAGGCATAAAATGCAATACCCCTCACATTCCTATGAATTTTATCTCTGTGATGGGTCTTCTAAAAATTGAGTACTGAGAGAGAAGCCAGCCACCTTCACTGGCAGCTGTGCAGAAGTTTCTGATGATGACGATGATGACAGTGCTTAAGCTTGTATTATTTTGTTTCCTAAGAACATAAATCCATTATGAAAGTTAAAACAAGGCATACGGATACATATGATATTGTACTTCATCAAAAATAAAACCAGACTTCTAACATTTTCTATTTGCTTACCCTCCTACCCAAAGGCTGTAATCCTGTGCCCTACCACCTTGATGAATGTAAGCCTCTGAACTTGGAGGTTTATGTGCATCAAATGCCCAGCAAGAGGCATGGCAATAGAATTGCCATGCCTTGCATGGGGTGTTTTCTCTGGACAGCCATTTATATTTAGTTCTGGAGTCTGGCACCAAAGGGAGGCTGGCACAGATCTGCGGCCCCAGCCCCCCCCCTTCCTGCTCCTTGCCACATCCTTTGTTTTTGCACTTCTAAGCCCCAGCTGGGATCGTGAGGTGGGGGGAGCCAGTGCACTTCTTTCGGCACCAGTGCAAGGGAGTAGGTGGGAGCTTGGCTTCCAGAGTCTGAGCTCCAAGGTCAAATTTAAGTACGTGAAAGGGTGAACTCAAACTGAATTTGCAGTGCCATTGACTTGTTGCTATAATCCATTGGCTCTTCATCCTGATAATGTCT